TATATACCATTATAACTTTATAAAAGTCTTTACATGTGAAGTTCCTATAGTTATATACACATATATATCTGGTTTATTTCACTTGATATTATGGTCTCAGTGTGTGTCCATTTTCCTAAAAATGGATCCAGTTTGTCCTTCTTTATGGCAGAGTAGCACTGTTGTGTATAAATATCATATTTTCTCTATTCGTTTTCCGTTGATGGTCATACAGGCTGCTAATAAGAACCAGAAGACAGGAGGAAATACTATTTGTTACCTTAGCACAATAAAATTATACAACTATACTAAATTTGTTAATTGAAGTTAAGAGTGCTTTGGTTGCTGGTTTCCTTTAGTACTATATATGTTTGTGATACACAGTGGTTACTTTCATCTTGCAGCACTGGATCATTTTTACTTCTCTTTCTCCTCCCTTTCCTCCCACATCCTTGTCCCCAGAGAGAAGTTTTTAAGTAAAAGAAAATCATAATGGGTACAGAAGTCCTATGAAATAATTTAATCTAAATATGGTTTCTGTTGATCAGTCAAAATAAGACCAGGTGTCCGAAATGGAGGTTTCTAAACGAATTTTGGAAACAAACCAGAGAAACAATACATAAATGGTGAGAATCAAAGAATATCATTTCCCTCATGAATCTGAGAAAAATGTCAATTTATTTATATAGTTTGCTTTTTGAGTCAGGATCTCACTTTGGAGCTCAGGGTAGTCTTGAGTTTATTGTGTAGTACAGGCTGGCCATGAATCTGGGCTGATCCTCCTGCTTTAGTTTCTTGAGTGATACAATTATAGGTGTATGCACCACACCTGACTAAAACAGTCAACTTAAACTGAGCTTTCTGGGGCCGGGAGTGGTGATGCATTGCCTGCAATCCCAGCGCTCAGAAGGCTGAGGCAGGAGGATTGTTGGGAATTTGAGGCCAACCTGGGCTATGTAGTGGGTTCAAGTCCAGCCTGAACTGCATAGTGAAACCTTGTCTCAAAAAACAAATTTTTGGAAAGAAACTAAGGATAGATTATCTGAACTGGAGGACAGATTTGTAAGGTGGGAGCATGAAATGAAAAACTTCTTAAAAATAACAAGGAAACAAACAACAATAATACAAAAGCTAGAAGATGATAAGAGGATCTATAAAGTTAAGAATTAAAAATGTAAAAGAAGAAGTAGGGACACAAACAAATGAACTACAAAAGCTACTCACAGAAATAACCCAGGAGAATTTCCCTAATTTAGCAGAAGGTAAAGATACTCAGATGTATGAGGCATACAGGACCCCAGCCACCTACAACCCAAACAGAGCTATACCCAGGCATATAGTAATCAAAATTCCAGAAATCCAATATAAGAACAGAATATTAAAAGCCGTCAGAGACAAGAAACAGATCACTTATAAGGGAACACCCATCAGAATTACAGCAGACTTCTTGGCACAAACTATCAAATCACAAAGAGCGTGGGGGGAAATAATTCAAGCTTTGAAAGATAATAACCTCCAGCCAAGATTGATATATCCTGCACAACTGTCCCTAGAAATTGATGGAAAAACAAGATGCTTCCAGGATAAAGAGGAACTACGGGAATTTGCAACCACCAATTCAACTCTACAGAGAATACTGCAGGATATTCTAAAAAAGAAAAATACCAAGATTCCAGAAACAGTGGCAGAGAGGCCACAATGAATGGAGCAGAAAGTGAAATGAAGAAGACAAACTGACAACTAATGACAGAAAAAGAGCTCAACAGAAATGAGGCAGAGAAGGTTGGATGGTAGGAACAGCTATTTTGGAGAAAACAAGACATCATAATAGCTAGTGCTGATTTAGTATCATCTTGCTTTGAAGTCCCATCAAGCTTTTGTTCTTCTGTCTCCATCGGTCTTAACATGTTGTATCTTATTAGATTTTATTATATGTGATAATATAAACAAAAACTTTTATAGAAAGAGATTATACAGAAACCATTGTTCATTTTCTGTTAAGTGATTCTAAATACCTTCTGCCTGTTGCCGGCATGTGCCATCAGACTGCAGACTGTCTCTGGCATGCACTGGTGGCCAGCTGGCCTGTCGCCTGTAATATTGTCATTCTCTTGAATGGTTTTACATTGTCTTGATATGTTTGATGCTACAGTATACAAAATTATACTCAAAGATTTCAAGGAAAGAGACACTTGGGTCCACTTTCCTGGTAACCCCTTTTATGTCAGGATATCTTGTGGTGAAACACTATTTTGCTTAAATGGTTATGTTTTGGCCTGTGCTGTTTTGTTGTTATGTCCTCTTTTATCTCAATCTCCTTTTTTTATTATTTACTTTTCTATTTTTATATTTTTAATTAAGGGCAAAAATAAATAAAAAATAGCAGGATATATTATAGTAACCCACTTTGATTTCCTATTAACTTGATTTGAAGACCTGTATTGCTCTCACCATCTTGTTTTGACTGATTTTCTTCTATTCTGTTTTGCTTGATAGTACCAAGTTTGAGAGTATAGGCAACAACTGTGAAGACAATAAGATTCATTATGACGCCCATTCTGGTTTGACTATTATCTTCTTTTGAAGTCCTGTAATGTCTCCAATGTTTTGGTTTTATTGGTTTTTTTCTTTACTGTTTTGTTCAATTTTATTATAACTGATTATATAGGCAATTCTTTTTAAGATAGCAAGAGGCATTACGGTAACCATTGTTGATCACCTTGTATTTTGTTTTTACATCATGTACTATGTCCATCCTTTTGATTTGACTGACTCTGTTTTGTTATATCACATTTGGTTTTATTATCTTCAAAAAAAGTAATAAGAACTGCGGGAGTAATAAAACCCAAAATGTGTAATTGTCATTGTACAAAAGAGAGGAAAAGAAAGTGCTCTAAAGGATATAACTGCACGTATATTTAAGCGTAGAAGATAGATAACCATATTACTGAATTTTTGTTGGATCATTGAACAGAACTGTTTGCAGTCTCACTGTTTGAATGTCCACTTTATATGCTTTAATTTTGTAACTTGAAAAACTATTTCTAAGATGACAATATGTAATCTATTAACTAGTGATTTCCTACTGTTTATTTTTTCTAGGATTCTGTATAACTTGTACCCTTTTTCTGTTTTTCTTTTTCTCCTTAAATAAAATTTTAAAAAAACCAAAAAAAACTAAGTTTTGTGGGGTTTTTTTGGTACCAGAGATCGAACTCACGACTGTGGGCTTGCAAGGTAGGCTCTTATGCTGCTGAGCTAAATCCCAGGCTTAAAAAGCAAATAACTAACTAAATAAATAATTAAATAAATAAAAAGACTGGGGATGTAGCTCAACGCAAAGGCCCAGTGTTCAATCCCAGTACTGCCAATAAATAAATAAACATACACACTGAGCTTTTTTTTTTTGTCTTTCTGTAAGCTTGTTTACAGCTAGAGATTTGTGGGCATCCTCATAAAGAAATGGCTTTACATTTAGGGATAATGCTATGGGCTGTCACTTGGGATAAAAGTGGACAAAAGATAGTTATGTTACACAAACAATTAGTTCCATGAACACAAAAGAAGAATTAGAAGCATATAATAACTACAGAAGAGTCCAGTCACATGTGCAGTAACAATTTCTAGATTGAAATGCAGGGTTTGGCTGAGAAGGCGCCAACAGGAGAATGGAATCTTAATGAGTGTTTTTGTTTACTTTGCCGTGTGGGTAATAAGAAGGCCTGTAGTCAACAAAGAATGCACGGGATTCCTAGCAGATGTCTGGTGAATGGCGTCCCCCATTGCTTCTGAACTTTGTCCTTGTGGCAGTTCTGTGGACTTTGCTGAGTCTCCTCCGTGTGATACAGAATCTCCGGCATTCTTATTATTTTTTGTTGTTGTTGTTTTTAAGACAAGGTTTGCTGTGCAGTTCAGACTGGCCTTGTACTCACTTATGTAGCCCAGACTGGCCTCAAACTCTGGCAATCCTCCTCCTGCCTCAGCCTCCAGAGAGCTGGGATCACAGGTGTGCACTGCCAGGTCCAGCTCACACTCTATTGTTCATGATCACACACAAGGTAAAGGACAGGAAATGGTTACACAGGAAAACCCTGCAGAGTTGCAGTTAGCAGCAGTGTTCAGTAGGAGTGAACAGGAAAATTACCATGAAATCATAAGGCTTTTGTATCAACAGCTCCATGAATCACTAACTGGGTGGGCAAATCAGTTAAGTTATCTACAGCTCATTTTCCTCTCTGCAAGGAGTACAGCACTATCACCTAGGCATGATATTTATTGTTTTAAGCAAAATGTGGCATGGGGCAATAACACTATCCAAATGGGTGAAGGATCCTGTGTAAGCCGGGGGTTCAGTTGGCGAGCAGCATTTATTATCCGGCCTGTGCGATACCCATGAAATGATTCAAATGCACCCCTAAAGGACCTCAGATAGTTTGAAAGTGGGCACACCATTTAACCTGCAGGAATCCGGGGGATCATCACATAAGGACCCCTAGCAGGATGAATCCAGGTTTGTAACTGGCTCAAATGGCCGGCTTCATTCGTCTTACGATCACATATTCTTACAATCAGGGACCACGTTTTTGCACAGGGCCACATCGAGGTTTGAAATTTGAATCCCTCCAGGGAGACGGACTCCTTGATCCTTGAGAATGAGTGTGACGAGGAGACTCTGCTCCACTCCAAAGCCTGGAGCTCCGTGGATGTTTTCGGTCAAAGCTGGCTTTCTGCGTCAGAGACTGAGTCCACACAACCCCGATGTGAAGAGGACAGGCAGAGACGGCAGCCATTAAGAGGGGGAAATGCAAAAAATGTAAACTCAGCCAGGAACTTTCTCTGAGAACGTTGACCTTTGGACCAGTTTATGGAAATGCTTTAAAATAGCTATGCATGCTTTTGGAAACTGTTTTCAAGATAAAATAGCAAGTATAAAAATTTGTTATGTTTGCACTTTTTTTTCCTCTTTTTTTGGGAGGTCCTGGGGATTGAACCCAGGGTGTCTGTGCTGAGCTACATCTGCAGCCCTTTCAATTTTACTTTATTTATTTAAATTCTGAGACACAGACACAGACACACGCAAACACACAGGCTGGGTGAGGTGGTGCACACATACAGTCCGGCACTCTGGGAGGTTGAGGCAGGAGCACTGCAAAGTCAGGCCTGGCCTGGGTACCTCAGCAGTTTAGTAAAACCCTGCCCCCCACTTCCTGATCCCCCAAAACAAAGCAATCCAAAAAAACAGGACTGGAGATATAGCTCAGTGGGAAGGCCTTGGGTTCAACTTCCAGTCCTACAAACAAAACAAAACAAAACACATACAGTTATGGCTTGTATCTTGATGTCCCCCAAGACATGCGTGTGATCATTTCAAGGATGTGATGCTGGTATCGCTTCCTGGGGAGATGCTGGGATTAAGGCTGCCCCACCCTGGGTGTGAGTGCTGCCCCCGCTAAGAACAGGTCGCCTGGAGAGGATAGAAGGGACAGAAAGGGCTGCTGTGCTTGCTGCTAGCAGCTCACTAAGCTGCTTGCTCCCTTCTGCCTACTGACCTGTCCCCCCACCCCCCCGCAGCCCCCTGTGCCACACCACCCTGCCAGCCAGCTATGGACTGAATCCACTGCAGACTGTGAGGCAAATAAACCCTTCCTTTTAAACTTTGGGTGTTGGGTATTTTGTCTCAGTGATGAGAAAAGTAACTAATACATGCACATAAAATAAAAATTTGCACCTGATTTTCTTTCCTTTATTTCTGTTTCTTATCTTTTTATTATTTTTCTATTTAAATTAATTTTATTGGTACATTTTTGATATAGATAATGATCACATTCATCGTAGGGAATTTGTACCTGTATACGACATATCTTTTCTTTCTTTCTCTTTCTTTTTCTTTTTCTTTCTTTCTTTCTTTCTTTCTTTCTTTCTTTCTTTCTTTCTTTCTCATATTTTTGGTACAGGGGATTGAACTCAACCTCATGCTTGCTAGGCAGTTGCTTATGCTTCTGAGCTAAATCCCCTAAGTTCCCAGCCATGTATGTGATATATCTTGATGTTTCTTTTTCTCCATTCCTCTCTCCTTTCTTCAGTCTTTCTCTCCATCTTTATTTAAAAAAGCTGTTTCTATCTTCCATTTTTTTCCCCTTTCTGTCTTTCTCTGCTCCCCCCTTTGTCCCATTCTCATTTGAACATTTTCTTCCTATTTTACAATATGTAAACATACATTGTGGTCCTTTCTTCCTGAAAGAATTAAAAGGATCATACTATAGTGATATATGCACATCCCTGTTTATAGAGCCCACTTTGTAATAGCTAAATCGTGGAAACAGCCCAAATGATCATCAACTGATGAAAGGATAAAAAAGTGTTTTTATACAATGGAGTACTACTCTGCCCTAAATAAGGATTCAGTGGAGGCATTCCTAGGTAAATGGATGCACCCTGATACCACACTCTTAAGTGAAATAAATTGAACACACAGGTTCAAATATCACTTTGTTTCTCTACTTTGAGAAACTGAAAGAGTAAATAAGGACCAAAATGCTCAGTAGATAATGGGAAATAGGAACAAAATGTGCTTGGTTTTCAATCACATCATCCTTATGTCTTCAAGCACAGAACGATTCTTTTATGGTTATCATAGAAGGCCTCTGGCCTTTGGCTGTGACTGGAGCTGAGATAGGAGACTGTTGTTTTCCTTCTAACTGCTCAGAAGCAGTGCAAAAGCTCTGTCCCACCACAGTCCTGCCAGCCACCCCAGCTGTCACGACTGCCGTGTTTGCACCACGGAGCCACATGAGTGGGTACCAGAGACCGTTCAGAGAAGTTTCTCACCAGGTTACCAAAGAAGGCTGTGTGAGTGGGCGAGGGCTGCATCTGCCCTGAGAGATACAGAGGCGTGGTCCTGGGGACATCTGGAAGGCAGGACTAGATGATGTCTACGAGGTTGTTCCCAGAAGGGTTTTCCTGTTGTGTGTGTCTTGTTATCCGTGAATACCTTATGAGGAGAAAGTTCATTGTGACGGGAAGAATGTACATTCCAGTGGAATCAGAACTCTATCTGGAACTTAATAGCTGTGTGATTTGGATAAGATATCGTCTGAGCCTCAGCTTTAGTGCCTCGAAGGGTTTTCCTGAGAATTCATTAGACGATGCATCACTCAGACCGTATATTTGGTATTTAATGTATGTGTGAACTTCTTGCTTTTTTTTTTTCCCCCGAGACAGGGTCTTGCGGGCCTCCAACTCCCGGCCTCAAGTGATCTGACTGTCTCAGCCTCTTACGCAGCTGGGACCAAAGACACTTCTCACACACCCAGCTAGTTCTTCCTTTTTCTACAAGATACAGGGCTTATAATTCAACATCTGGGGCCAATTAAGATTTTTTAAGTACTGTGTTGAGATGAACTAATTTTCACAGGCTTCTAGTGTGGGATTCTCATTTTTGTAAACAAGACACTTGATTGAGATTTGATTAGATGCTTTGTAGCACAACATGGTAAAAAATGACAAGTATGGAGAAAGCAGAAATGGGAGCCAGGTGGCCAATGTAACCTTTGAAATTTGCAACTGCAAGATCATCACTCGCTAGAAGTCACTCCTTCCAAGAGAGCAATCAATCAAACAGCCAATCAACTGCAAAGACAGAAAAATCAACAAACATCGTGAAAGCAAATTTGCTTCTGGGAAGGCACTCCAAATGTCACTGGAAAAGCTCAATGACAAACAAGCACTAGATTTCCTTTGAATTTTTAAAGAAGTGGGAATTTCACAGAATGAATCCATACAAGTTCTTGTAGCCGTCCTCTCTATCTGGATGATGAAAAGAATCAGAAGCCAACGTTCTAGATACTGAAAATCGTTTTATTATTTACAAATAATTTTTCTCTAAGGTTCTCTTTTACTTTATGAACAAAGAGAGCTGCCCCATGGGCCAAAATCACCTGAATTTCTAAACTAGTTAGAGGTTACTAATTAATTAATATTGTTCAAGTTAACATTTAACAACAATCACAAATCTTGTATTACCTATTACTATTGTGCTGGTTAAGAATTCTCTGAGGGGTGACCTTTAGTAAAAGATGGTAACTACAATGTGGAATTTCTCCTCTGCCTTTCCAGTTTTTTCTCTAACATCTTGAATTTACATTTGTCAGGAGCAAGTACAGAGGTTTAAACAGACATGTTGATGCTCAATGTGACTTCTCACCACTGCTTCTATTTTTGTGCCTCTTAATGATTATTTTTTCTACTCCAAATTCCAAGTCAAACACCATCTATTCTGAGGACCACCCTGTCATAAGTTGTCCAACAATACATATGTTTTAACAAAAATGGAATATTCATATACTAGCTTAATTGTGGTTTAGCTCAACAGCATCAAAAACATTTGTAGGAGTGGGGCATGGTGACACATATCTGTAATTCCAGCACTCTGGGAGGCTGAGACACAAGGATCTCACATTTGAACTCAGCCTGGGCAACTTTGTGAAACCCTGTCTCACAATAAAAGCTAAAAAATGCGCTGGCAATGGAGTTACATATGAAGGCTCTGTAGGTTCAAATGCTAGTACCACAAAAACAAGTGTTTTTAGGTATGTACTTAATTCAAGAATCTGTAAAGTTAAAACCATTATTGTCTGAAACAATATATCTATATGTTTCAATTTCTTGCAAGTTATGATTTTCATACTTTGTCCACATGAGGGAACCTTTGGTGCACTCTGCTTTAAACAATGTTTCACCCAGCTGTTCATCTACATTTATTTTAATAATGCATATGTGATAGTGCTCACTGAGATGTGCATACCATCTCTGAAGGATTTCTGAAGTTCGAGTCACAAGTGTTAAAATGACAGAATTTGCAGGGTGGGGTGGTAATTGTGGAGACTGTCTGGCTTAAACAGAAATTTGATGTAAAACAAGTCTTAGGAAAGACAATCATGGCTACTAAAATGCCATCAAAGACTCAGCCTCTTTTCTGCTCTGCCATCCTTGGCGTACAGGTGTTTATTCTCTGGTTTGTTGCTTTCTGAGTGAACTATGGTTGCCACACAACAGCCTGACATCCCCCAAACAGGAAGCTAGTGTAGGGCAAGGATGAATTCTGGCCACCAAACTTGTCCTGGGAACCCCAGGAGCAACTTCAGATGTCACCTCACTGGCTGAACCTGTGCTACCTATGATTCCCACAAACTAAAGACCTTGCTGGAAAATATTCAGCTTTGAAAACTAGAGATCAAAAAATGTCAGCCCCTAGGTGGGCACGGAGGGGTATTCTTGTAATTTCAGCATTTGGGAGGCTGAGGCAAAAAGGTAAGTGTAAGTTCAAGGCCAGCCTGGACTACATAACAAGACCCTGTCTCAATACCACCCCTCCACCAAGCCGGCTCCAAGCATCCTATCCTTAAAAATTACTTATTTTTTAAAAAAAAGCTATAATTATGTTAACGTTCCACTAGGGTGACTAAGCAAACGGCCATGCCTTCTGCAGAAAACCAGTCTCAGTGAGCTGGGGCTCATCTATGACTGGAAACAAACGGGATGCCACCCTTATTTCAGAACACTTCAAATGGCACAGCTGAAACCTGTAAGGCATCCTGTCACAAAGACAAGGTGGTGTGAAGTGAGGATTTAAGGGATCCCACTGCACTAGCTGCTGAGTGAAGACTGTCACTTGGTCACCAGTACAGGAGTGGCTTGAAAGCCTTCTAAAGCCCAAAGGGAAAGAGACCAGCTCCCCAACGCCCCTCGAGTAATTATCAGCTTGTATTCTCCTGTAAGTACAAGCCAGATACAGATGTGGTGATGCACATCTCACAGATTTACTGTATTGATTCCTACACTCATGTAAAACATGGAGAATAAGCCAGCATTGGGCCCTGAGCCAACCTTGCATTCCTGTGTCCAAGCTATACAACAGAACAATTAACGGTCAACCCTGTTTGTGTAAGATGGCTTACCGAGGGCTGGTGATGCAGCCTGATAACAGAATTCACCAATACATAAGGAATGCAGAAAGATGAGTTTATTTAGATCTGGATACTCTGCCAGAATAGATAGCAGGGCAGAGTTTCAAGAAAGGAAAAATGCAGTTAGGGTGAGAAATTGGATGTTTTAAAGTTTTTTTTTTTTTTTTTTTTTTTTTTTTTAACGAGACAGATTCTTGCTATGTACTTTAGGCCAGCCTTGAACTGTGTAGCCTACACTGACCTAGAATTCAGTGATCCTCCCGCCTCGGCCTCCTGAGTGCTGAGACTAGAGTGGTATGCCTTGCAAGAGCAGAATTTCCATGAGGACCTGAGGATATGGAAAATGTGAGGCTCTAAAGAAAGTCTTTCTCTTGGATCATTGCAGATCTTCCCGAAGCACCTGTGCTGTGTTAAAATCATGTTTACAGTTGCATTTCCGACCGGGTCACTCGCCTCCGGCCCACACACTTCACGCCTCGGACAATGAGGTATAAAGAGGTCTGCGTAGGTGTTTATAGAGACCTGGGTCCAGGCTGGGCTCATCCACGGGCCTGACATCAAAGACAAAGTTGCCTGCCCAGCCAGGCCATCCCTGAGCCGAGCTCTAACGGAGTCTGGCTGTTCCGGAGATTGCTTCTTCTCGTCGCCAGCGGGCACCGTGTCCTGGGTGGGGAACCCGCAGGGCCGCTGTCCCCTCCTGTGACCAGGGTGTGGGCCAGGCCTTGCCTGCACTGCGCTTGGCAGACCGCCTATCCTCAGCAAAGTGTTAACACGATCCCAGGAAGGGCATTAACTTAGTCGGGGTCAACTCACAGGATGGAAAATGCACATCCCACCGCATGGAGCGACCCTGGGCACCCCACCATCGCCCCCACCGAGGCGGGACACCCCGGCCCTCAAAGCACGCAGGCGCTGTGGCAAGTCGGAACCGCGCCGCGGAGCCCTGCGCGTGACGCACTTCCGCCCGGCGTTTCCGGTTTTGGGGGGAACCCCCCCCCCCAAGCCCACTCTACAGCGATCGTAGATCGGCGCGCTGGGCGCCGCCACCCGTATCCCCACTCTCCCGCCACCTGCAGCCGCCGCCGCGGTCGCGCCCGAGGGGTCCTGGGGAGCTGGGCCGCGCCCCTGCCAGTTCCTCGCGTCGCCCCGCGCCGCCTCGCGAGACTGGGCACAAGAAGGGCGCGGCCGCGGCGGAGGACGCCCTCCCGGTCGTCCCGGCACAGTGGCGGCGCGCGGCCCTCCTGGACCGGGAGTCACGGCGGGCCAGTGGGCGGGCGGGGCGTCGCGTCGGGGCCTTGTTGCGTGTCCGCCCGGACCCTCCTGTCCCGCCCTCGGCCCCTCCTCCGGGCGCCCTGTGCAGTCCGGAACCAGGCGGAGTCCAGACCTGGCGGGGACATCTGCACCCTCGGCCCGGCACCCGGACCCTGCCGCCGCCGCCTCTGCCCACCTTTGGTCCTGGCGATGGCCTTCGTGTCGCCCGATGCACTCGTGACTGAGCTGGACACTGAGTATTAAGCGCTCACTTCCGTCCCCACCACAGCCGCGACGGCGGGGACACCTCGGCTCCATAGGGCGGATCCGCTGCTTCGGTGGACTCTCTGGCTTGGGGTGCGCCATGGACCAAAGTGGGATGGAGATTCCCGTGACCCTCATCATCAAAGCGCCGAACCAGAAATACAGTGACCAGACTATTAGCTGCTTCTTGAACTGGACCGTGGGGAAACTAAAAACGCATCTGTCTAACGTGTACCCTAGCAAACCTGTAAGTGTGCAAGGCTGGGCACAACTGCTCCGACCTGCAGCTTTTTGTGCCACGTACCTCCCTCCTCCCTGCTCACGCCTGCCTTTAGTGTGTCAAGTAGGTCTTTCTGTAGACCGCGAAGTGTATTGAGTTCTTAGGCTGTGGGTGTCTCCGGAGTTTCGGAACCATCATTAATACTTTCCTGATGGGGTTCAGTTAATTAGTAAGAGTATGCCGAAGTATCAAGAGACATAAGAACTGGCAGGTATGAAATAGGAACCATTTCCCTTGGGTTTCATGTTAACCTAATTTGAGGATGAAATGCATTCTTTTTATTTTATTTTTTTAAGGAAAACACTGCAACCCCTGTTGAAACTTTTTATAGATTTCTAGACTAAAGGGCCATACTGTGAAGAGAATTTTTTTCTTGGAAATTAGTATGTGGCTCCTATAGAAATAATGCTTTCAAAACTACTATGTGTGTTTTGGGGAGCAGAGTTACAAGTTGCAGGTTAGCTGTTCTACACCACCCCTTTTTTGTTTTCTCTTGAAGACACAGACCTTTAACTTACAACAATCCTTTCACCCTACTCACTGTTTGGTGCTTTTCATTCTTTTCATATTGCCATATGTAAAGGCCTTTACACTGCCTTTTTCACCCAAATCAGCATGATTCTCTTTTCTTTTAAGTCCTGTCTAGATATGGCAACGATAAATAAAATCAGACAGATGGTATAGCTCCAAAGTTGATAATTAAATTTTAGAATAGTTTAGAAAAGAAATAGCATGTCACGTCACCACTGTATAAAATTTTCATTCTTGAATACTTAGTGTGCAGTTTAAAGAAGAGGTGTGGATAAGAAAGAGAAAGGTTTTTTTTTTTGTTTTTTTTTTTTTGGCAACAGGGAGACTTAAACATATGGGTCTTTTGGAGAGGAATCTGTGCTTTTTATTTTTCTTTCCCCTTTGGTATTTTGAGACAGGGTCTTGCTGTATATTCTAGGCTGGCCTTGAACTCATTATGTAGTCCAGGCTAGCCTAGAACTTACAGTCTTCCTGCCTCAGTCTCCTGAGGTGTGTGCCATCATGCCTGG